ATTTGTAACATTATCTAGCAGTTGGTTTTTTTTGAAAACAACTATCCAAAGCTAAAGTTCTTGTAAAGATAAATGGACTTGACACTAATTGAGAAGGCTTCACCCGGGTGTTGCTCCCCCTTGCTAGCAATTACGACTTGTCGGATTGAATGGGTGTGTGGTGAGGGGGTTGTAAACCATAGGGGAGTGTAACAAGTAGCCAAGCGCCACTCTCTTAGCCTCTAGGTCGAGGAAAGGGGATATGATCCAAGCCACCAACTTGACCCTATCGACTTATTGACTAAGGATTGGTTAGACTTCACCCTCGAATCGGAGTTCAGACGGTCACCCACAACCAAACCCTATGTGCTAATACAAAATAGGAGGTTTGCCCTACATTAACCTAACTAGGAGACAATGAATTGCCTAAGAAAACCCAACATTCAAGCCTCTTTCAAAAAAATGAAGGGGGTTTTCTCTCTACCTAGGTTAGAATGGCAATTAGATTGATAGGTTTTCAAACAACACAATCATTCATGAATAATACCTCCACATTCACATTAAACACAATCACACCCAAATCATTCAATCCATACAAGCATTCACATAATTGTAGCTAGGGTTTACAAACACCCAAGTGAAAGAAGGGACTACTCCATGCTAGGAAAAGGGAAAACACAAGAGAGAATAAGGGAAACCATCAAAGAGATGCTAGCTTTACTCCTTGTGTTGAAGAGATCCTCATTTGGGGGAGGAATTCCCAATTCCTTGCTTGATGATGAACCGTAGCTTCTCCTCTTCTTTGGTTCGTCACTTTCTCACTCTAGAAATATGAAGAAGTTTCTCACACTAGTTCTCTCTCTTTTCTCCTTTGGCTCAACCTCCTTTATATACCCAGATCGGTCTTAGTGCTTGGCCGTGAACTGAAACCCAGACCCCAAACCAACGTGAAATGCGCCACAAACCGTGAACTGGATGCCTGGTCTGAGTTCACGGTCTTACGACTGTGAAGTGACTCATGTCCAGTGAAAACCCTTTGTGCTTTGGATGCCTGGCAGGTCGCTGGGATCGCCTCTAGTTCATGGTCTTAGTGATATTGAACTCACAGCCCAAACCATGAACTGCTGGTGTTTCCACCGATTGACTTGGTCTTTCGCTCTTTCGTCCAAATTTCGACTCCAGGGTTGGTTCCGCCTGCTAAAGTCTGAAAAATACCAAAACAAGGAAAAACTCGGCATAAAACCAAACCTCGAGGAGTAAAAGTGCTTCAAACGACTAAGCAAACAGAGGGTAAAAAGTGTACAAATGAGCCCGAATAAGTTTGCATGTGGGATGGGGCAACTAAAATTGGATCACATTTGGCAGGTGGGATGATTATTCTAAATCAAGGTGGGGAGGTCCTCTTGGCTAAAGGGATGCAGTTTCCGGAGATTGATGATCCTATGATTGTTGAACTGCTTGTTCTCCGGAAGGCCATTCTCTAGTGTCTAAGCCAGGGATTTGCGGAGACGAGGTTTGAAGCTGATGTCAAGGTGGTCATTCAGAAGATCAATCGGTCTGATACTCGGGATGCTCGGATGGGGGCCATTCTCGATAAGGTCATGCTATACTTTGTGACACACTGTGGTTTTAGTGTGCGATTTGTAGGTCGGCAAAGCAATAGGGTAGCCCATTTAGTGGCTATAAAGGTTGTCAAACCGAATTAAGTCATCAAGCCGGTTTGAGGTTTAATGGTCGGATCGGGGTTCAACCGGATTAAGCCGGTTTTGACAGGATATACAAGGAGTTAATATTGGGGAGCCACTAACACTTAATAAATTATACATATATATCATATGACATCTCGACTTAAAAAACTAGGTTTTCATTAACCTCCACTAAAAACGTTGTCGTTTAAACAAAAAAATGTATAAAAAATAATAACTCAATGAAAATAAGATCTGTGCATCCTCCACTTCAAGACCCTCTCTCCATTTTTCTCCACGCACTCAATGTTCCAATCTCTTTCTTCTCTCAACCTAAAGAAACAAAAAAACAAACCAAATCCAAACCCTTTTCTCTTCTATTTAGCCTTCCTCACGAATCGGCTGCCCGCTGCCATCGTTCGTCTCCTCCATCTAATTCACTTCAACGAATTGGCCACCATAGTTCATCTCCTTCTGATTCCTCCGACGAATTAGGCGTCCCCAAGAGATGGAGACAGTCGGAGGAAGATCTGGGCTAGAAAGTCGAGACTAGCAGGGGGAGTAGGCGTCGCGGGGCGAGGAGTAGGCATCGCAACGCGGGGAGCTGGGTTGAGGTGTGGGAGAGGCCCCGATCGACGCCGGCGGAAGGAGGATGAGATTTGGGAGGACGGACGAGAGACAGAGGAGAGCGAGCGGCTACTTGTGGGCTGCTTTGCTGCATCGCTCGACTCGACGGAATGGAAGGGCGAAATTGGCTTTAGGGTTATGAATCCCAACCTCCAAAATGTTGTCTTTTCATCAGTCATCACTAGCCGGTAGCCGGATAAGTCCGGTTTTGACCGGTTGCGGCTAGCTCGGAATATGGCTTGCACTGGCCCCTTTTATGCCTGGTTCCGGCCCAACTCGATCGGGCCGACCGTATAGAGCTGGGTTTAACAACCTTGATGGCTAGAATAGACCCTTTTATTGTATCCGACTATGAGTTGTTTTCTTTGATTTTATGGTCTGACTTAGTTCCATGATGTACCTGCCTTTTATTGAAATCTAATATATGATTATTTTTTGTCATAAAAAAAGTCAATCCGATTTAGCCCGTTGGCCCGATCGAGGTAGTGGATTGAGGGTTAATGGTCCAATCACTTTAGCCCAGATATATGTACCAAGTAATTATATGGTTCATAAATTTATAAATTATCAAATTTCATCTAACATATGAGTAATAATACATAACACTACACCAAAATAACATATCGTACTTGGATCCAACATATAGTGAAAATTCACACACTTATATAACATCAATTTCAACTTAGAATCCAAATATATGATTAGAAGAAGAGGAAAACTGGAAAAGATTCATATTAAACAAAAGGAAAAATGACACTGTATGATCTCCAACCAATAACCTTATAACGTGTCAATCCAACTAATATGTGTGATCCGTTTGTCTTACCGGCATAGGATTAAAACGGGGCTAAGATCAGGTGACTAAGGGGGGGTCCCTTAGTCATATGACTAAGCCAATCTCAGCCATTGATGCTCATTAAAATCTAATGGTTCAGATTTATCTGATTTAATGAAGGGCAAGATGGTAACTACTTAATTTATTTATTTAACAATTAAAATAAAAAAAATAAAAAAGAGCTTTGTCCATTCGACTTCTCCGATCGCGGCCGCCGAAGGGATTTTGCACCTGCCGCCGGTCCTGGAAATTTTCCGAGGCGGTGAGATTATTTTCTGTCCGTACCACTCACCCTCTCCGATCCTGGCCGCCGGTGAAATTTGTACCTGCCACCGGTGATTTTCGAATCCATAGCGGTGGACGATTCATTCTCCAAATCCTACCCACGGCTTCCCGCCGATCCTTGCGAGAGAGCCGTGACTCGTTTCTGGATCAAATTCGCGGAGGAGAAGCTGACCCCTGGAGGAGCATGCTTTTTTGGGCTGCTGCTGGTGAATTCGGTCCCCAACAGGTAAGTGAGAGAGAGATGGGGAATTGGGGAATTGTTTGGACATGTCATTATGCGCGTGAGAGAGATGGGGAATTGGGGAATTGTTTGGACATGGCATTCTGCATGGAGAGAGAGAGAGAGAGAGAGAGAGAGAGAGAGAGAGAGAGAGAGAGAGAGAGAGAGAGAGAGAGAGAGAGAGAGAGAGAGAGAGAGAGAGAGAGAGAGAGAGAGAGAGAGAGAGAGAGAGAGAGAGAGAGAGAGAGAGAGAGAGAGAGAGAGAGAGAGAGAGAGAGAGAGAGAGATTTCCGGTGACCGGAGGAAATTTTCCGGCGACAGTGTTGGATTTGTAATGTTTGCTGACCTATTTTGTAATGTTTGTATAGATTCGGTTTGTATTGTTTGTAATTTTTAGTGACATTTTGTACTATTAGTATGCTTTGTACTGTTTGTCGGTTTATTTTGTAATGTTTGTCAGTTTTTTTGTAATGTTCGTAAACTTTGTTATTTTTGTGAACCGTGTTTATCATTTTTGTCAACCATGTTTGTAATGTTTTTTATGTCTAAAAAACAACCTGGTTGACTTTTGGATGAAACTTCTCTATATAGGGATGGAGCCTCCAAAGTCAACCCGGATGTTTTTTCCCGTTCGTATGGATTGTCGGTCTAGTTTGTCATTTTTGTCCACCATGTTCGTACTGTTTGTATGTCTAAAAAACACCCGGGTTGACTTTGGGAAGGAGCCACTCTATATAGGGATGGAGCCTCCAAAGTCAACCCGGGTGTTTTTTCCCGTTCGTATGGATTGTCGGTCTAGTTTATCATTTTTGTCCACCATGTTCGTACTGTTTGTATGTCTAAAAAACACCCGGGTTGACTTTGGGAAGGAGCCCCTCTATATAGGGATGGAGCCTCCAAAGTCAACCCGGTTGTTTTTTTCTTTTTGTATGGTTTGTATTGTTTGTCAGTCTAGTTTGTATTGTTTGTACAGTTCATACGTTTGTAATGTTTGTATGTTTTGTCGCTCTAGTTTGTACTGTTCGTATGTTTATATGGTTTGTACTGATTGTAAATCCGGTTTGTATACTTCGTAATTTTCCATAATACCCAAACTACCCCTGTTATTAATTAAATAGCTCTTCCCACTTTTTAACCATTGGATTGAAGTGTCCAGATCTAAGGGCTGGGAGGGGCTTAGTCAAGTGACTAAGCACCCCCTTAGTCACTGGATACGCTCTCGATTAAAACGTGTCGACCTGCGACAACTTTGTTTACATATAATCACTGAAATTAGAAGCACTAAGTTTTTCCGGAAAACATGGGCAGTGTCAAGTTGACTTTTAAATACATAAAGGACGTAATTGCAAACATTACAAAGTTCAAGGGTAAAACTGTAATTCAAAGTAAATATTAGGATTCAAACCGTATAAATCCGACCTGTAAATCTCCCACTAGGTGTCTGTGGTTCTGACTTTCTGACGGTAAAGTGTCTTCTTCCTCCACTTTCAGCAACAAACTCACTCTCTCACCGGCGGAACAACCGAACCAAAAATGGCGGATTCCCCACCCACCGCTTCTCCTCCCCCTTCTTCTTCTTCTTCTTCTTCTCCGCCTTCCTTGACACTATCCCGTCAACCTAATCCATGCCTTAACTTCTTCTTCTCCAAATTCCCACCTGCAGATCCTTCAGCAACACCACAACAACCACCGCCACCGCCACCTCCGCCGATTGATGTTCCTCCGAAGCCACTGCCCCCGTTCATCTCCGTGCTATCCAGGAGGCCTTCATTGAGGGTGACCACAGAGTTCGACAGCGACAGCTCCGTGTTCTTCAACAAGGTCTCCTGCAAGCTGCTCGACAGCTTCGCGAAGCTCAAGTTCACTTTTCAGAACAACGGCAAGGGGGAATTTTCCGAGCCTCAGGTTTCGCTCATCTCGAAGAACCTCTCTATTCATTACGATGTTGAAGAGCAGAATGCGCTCATCAAGACCTCCTTCGACGTCGGTTCCAGGCTTCAATTCAAGGGCGTCCATGATGTCAAGGTCCCATTTCTCTAATTCGCTTTGTGTTTCTCAACTGGGTTTGAAGTTTCTCGGCGATGGTATTGATGGGTAAAATAACATTTCGATATGATAGGAAATAGTGTGAACTTAGTTTGACTGTCGCCTTGTGGTGGAATTCGGGTGGGCGCAAGTCCCGATTTAGCAAAAGATCTTGTTTTGATATTCATGGTTGTTTTTCCTCTCAGGCGGAACAAGGAGAAGTTGCAGTGGTGGCCAAACTTGCTGAACCTGGATATGCTCTTGAGCTCTCATCTGCTGTTCCTGCAGTTGGCTTGGTAATGAGCTAACTTTTTTGTTATTGCAACGTTTTTTAGCTACACAAGCTTTCATGATCCACCAAAATCGGGTAGCTTCACGATCGTTTTCGATGGGGATTTACTTATGGCAGCTGCAAGAATGTTTTCAACCGTTCTTTTACTCTGGTTTCTGATGCTTGTTGCTAATAGAATACTCTGCACTGGTGTTTATTGCGTTGTTACTTAGAACAATTAGATTGATGAAGAATTGGGATTTTCTACACAGTTTTTTCCCATCATTTTGATGGAGGTTGTTTATGTTTGCAGCCTAGAGCGACTCTAAAGTTCCCTTTCGGTGAATTTTCGTTGGAGGAAGCGGAGAGAGCAGAAGAGAAAAGGGCACTGTCTATTAGTGGACTTGGTAAAGCTAAACTGTTGAATGGCCTTTGTTCTGCTCGGTACAGCGAAGAGGAACTGAAACTAAGATATTCCTATAAGGTAGGTTCTAAATTCTGTTGCTTGGTTTAGCTTACATTATGGTGTTCTTTTTCCCTTTTTTTCCCATCTCGCATGATGGAGCCTTCCATCGGATGTTACCATTTCATAGTTCATACCACTTATTCAATACAAGTGATTAGAGTTTCTGGTTTACTTGCTTAACTAGATCAAGCATTTGGCTGATGAACACCATTTTTCATCTATTTACTGACAGAATTGTTATCTAATTCCAGGACGAGGCACTTTCGTTTATCCCCACCATTTCACTGCCTTCAAATGCTATGTCATTTGCGTTCAAGCGTCGGTTCAACACTTCTAATAAGTTAAGGTAAGATTTTGCCCTCCTAGTAAGATGATTCTAATTTCACCACAAATAGATACTTTAACTTGTGCTTGTGTACCGTAAAAGAAACTTGTGCTTGTGTAGATGTGGGTAAATGTGTTAATCTTTCTTTCTTCCTGATTCTATGATTCGGAGGTTGAATGAAAAGTCACGATGAAGTACTTCTCAGTCATTTAGAATGGAAAAGAGAGTTGCAGTTTTAGGTGTTAGAACTTAGAAGAGAACCTGGTATGCCAACTTCTTTTGGGCCTGTACGAATCAAGCTTCAGTAATTCAATACAATTCTATATGGTAGAGGGCTTACCTGTTAGCTATTACCTGTTGCAGAACTGTTATATGATTGGTTAGTTAAGGGGTTTCACACGACCCGTATAAGATGTTATTGTTTATTTATCTCTGTTCTATCCACACATTCATTCCATGGTTTGCATTGTCCAGCTACTGGTATCATTTTGATACCAACAACTGGAGTGCTGTGTACAAGCATACATATGGCAAGGACTTCAAGTTAAAAACCGGATATGATTCAGATGTCCGGCTCGGCTGGGCATCGCTCTGGGTAAGTTTTTCCTCGTATTTGCCCAACTTGCTGAGATATGATCTCTACTCAAGATTCCCGATACACTTGTTTTGACTTATGCTGATCATCACTATCCTTTTAGGTTGGGGATGAAGGTGGAAACGCTAAATCTGCACCGATGAAGATGAAAGTCCAATTCATGCTCCAAGTGCCACAGGACGACATCAAATCGTCGGCTTTAATGTTTCGTGTCAAAAAGCGATGGGACATATAGAGAATGTATATGCTTCTGAAATCACCTTTCTTCTGATCCTATACACCGATGTGAGATTAAAAAAAGCTGTTCTGGGTCTCGCATGCCCTGTTGTAACGGATGCACATTCTACAGTTTGGTTAGATGAATCTGTTTGTTTCCTGAAAAATTTAGGTCTTGTGAACCATCATTTCAACTAGACAGATGATCGATTTGAAGCTGATAGTTGTTGGAAGTGATTCGTTTGAATGTTAGACGTTGAATTTGGGCAATGAATTTGAGCACAAATCAAAGAAAAGGGAATTGGTGAAAATTATTGTTTGGTGGATAAGAGAAGACGACGCCACCTCTATTAGATCAAAAGATTCCTAATTTTGTGATTGTCGCATCTTCTTGTGTATGATTTGGTGATTTCGACCTGCTATTTATAATCTAGAGGTCTCCTTTCTATATAATTGGCTCTTGCGTGTATTACCAAATCATGATCATGAATTGCATACAAAAGAATTCATTCTCCACATCAATGAGAGCATAACTACATCGTTAATAGCTTTATTGTTAGGATATAATTACAGATTCGTCGTTGTCTACAGTGGATCAAAATTCCATAGATCAACAAATGTGGATGGACAATCCATCTGCTCAAACCCACAAAGAGGGAACTCGAATGACAATGGCATGTCCAACAGGCCACTGAATCCCCCACTTCCAAAACCATAACCCTTCAGCATCTCCATCTGATCTGTACTTCCATAATCATAATCACAGCAGCCTCCACCTCCCGTGGCAGCCTCCCATGGGAGCACAATCCTTTCCATGGTCGCGTCAGTAGCTTGTCCACCATTGTCAGCATTAGCCACCACTATGTTCTCTGTGCCCTCTGGAGTATCATCAGCTACTGCTGCTGCCATGGCACCAGCTTGTTGACCATCATCTTCCGCAACAACGACCATAATCTTCTTTCCTTGATCTTCATCAACCAGTGGATGGGCTGCTGGCTGGGAATCAGCAGTGGGAGCTGGGGGTGGAAGCAGATAGAGAGGCTCATTGGCTTCTTCTTGTGCTGCCTCTGTAGCAGTAGCAGAATGGTGCTCATAGTCATCGTGGTCATCACTACTGACTTGTGGAAAGTCCAAGACAGACTGTGGATCAGTACAACTGCCTCCTTGATCTCCACAGTCGAAGTCGAAGTTGAACTCGTCGCCCAAAGAATCGAAATCGATGATCGAGATAATGTCTAATGTCGTCGAATCTTGCTCTTCTTCGACTGGTTCTGGCTGTTGTTCTAGCACCATCGTTGAGAGAGGAGTCATGGAACTCGAACTCGAACACTCCACAGCTGAAGAAGGCAGGGGAATTTGTGGGTCGGGATTATAGCATGCTCTTTTGCTGCTAGAGGCGGCGCATCCCAATTGCATAATGTAATCCTCGAGCTTTCTCTTCCTTCGGGCGAGAGCCGAGCTCCTCGCCGCCTCCACAACTGCGTTCGCCGACGGGGAGCCGTTGTTCCGAAGCAAACACACCACTTCGCTCTCCTCGTCGCAGCGGCCGTCCTTGGTCATGCCGAACTCGTGGAGGATCCACTTCTCGCTCTCGTTCGCGAAATTAGGGTTAGGGTTTCTGTAATTGAACCTCTTCCGCGTCCCAATCCACCTCTCGTCCTTCTCCAGCGGCGACCGTGCCCGGCGGATGAGACTGAACTCCGTTCCTTTGTCCTCCCGGTGCCAGCTCCCGCCGCTCTTCCCGACCTTCCGGTCGCATCTTGTGCCCTTGCCGCCACCGGACTTCACCTTCTTCTTCAGATTGGTGAAGACGTAAACGTCGCCGGGCTGCTCCCCGGACTGAAGGAGCTTCCAGATCTCCCACGGCTCGTCGTCGCCGTACAGTTCGTGGTGGCGGATCACCGAGTAGTGATCGGACGGCAATGTGCGGCAGATGTGGTTGTAGAGGTAGTACCCAAGCAACTCGCCGTCCGTAGGGACGAACTTTCCGCCCGGAGGCAACTGTGCCGCTGCATTGCTCGCCGCCGCCGCCGTCGACGACGGTCCACCAGTTTGCCAAATCGAAACCGCCGACATTGTTGTACGATATCTAGCGCCGATTTCCTCTTCTGTTTCTTGCACTTTTCTTGATTTCCTGTCCGGTACTGGAATCCTGAAGAGAGACGGGAAGATGAATTTATAAAGAGACTGAGGAGTACGCGTTTTGAGGAGTGTTTCCAACGGTTAGAAGGATTCATTAGAGTGCAAGGATTTCTGTCCGGGCAAGGATTTGTTTTGCCGCTCGAACGTCCGTGGCGGGAAAAGAAGTAAGCTACTTCATTAAGAAAATGTTATCTAGAACTCATATTGACCATGTTTATGTTTTGGTTCATATAAGAGTATTTTTTTAACCCATAATGAATAAAATACAGATCCTAATTTTTTAAATTTTAGAAATTAAGATCAATTTAACTAGAAACAATAAGCGACAAATTATTATTTTTCCAAAAACATCCAACAAACTATATACAATATCTCTGGGTTTAAGTCTTATGATTTAGAGAATTAGAAGCTAGACTTCACTCATTAAGGGTTGGGATATAGATTATTGATCTGTCGTGTAGTTAGACCAAATTTATCTGGCCCGAAGGTCAGGATCGTATTCCCTTGGCCTCTCGCAAAACTCTTACTTCGGAAGATGTTGCATAGGCATCGATCTCCATAGGTCTCCTAATCATGAGCCCTCAATGATCAGGCATACGAGCTGCCTATTTCTTATTTCATTAGATCTCACCTTGTGACAAAGCATTTACCCGAACAAATGGGCGACAAGGTCCCATCGAATTTCTTCATTGAGGCAACACGACGTTCGATCGAGTAGGACTACTATTTCTAGTCCCATCCTAAACGACTAGGATTTCAAGTCTTGCACCTCGAAGGTGTGCAAGATCGATGAAGCATTCATTCCAAAAAAAAAAAAATAACGAACTAGAGGAAACTAACTCGATATGACACAACACCAAACTACGACCAAGTGTAATCGTAGGATGGAAATGTAGAATAGTGGTTCAGTTTAATTTATCAACCCGGGGTCTAGATCTACTGCCTACTCTGTAAACTTCTATTATCTAGCAAACTAAGTGTAGTGAGTGGTTCAATTGCAAAATAAAAATAAAAAAACACAAGAAATGTTCCGGTTTTCAATGTATGTTAAAGGTCATCAGGTATGTATGCAGCTAGTTCAGATTATATATTCCCAATTTGTTCAGATTGAAAGATACATTGCGGAAAGTTCTTGACAAGTCTGGAATCGTGACTAAAGAAGATCAGACCCTCTTGGTTCGAATACCTGGTGGGTGACTAACCTCCACCGACATAAACTACCAAGGCACTAATACATCAAACGTTCTCTACTGCCATTAATTCCATTACAGAGTAGTGAATCGACTTCTTGACTAAAGCATTCGATTCACCACTTTCAATTTAAGGTTGCTCTTTTAACCTATGCAGATACTATCGTCTAGGTTAAAGCAGGAATCACACAGGTTTGATCAAGACTCATGCAATTTTGATTAATGCCTCAATTGAATATATCAAATCAATCATTCGCAACTGCGGTTCATATAACTGTTCCTAACATACAAAACTAGGGTTCTTCATACCCAGATAAACTAGGGTTCTTCATACCCATATGAAAGGGGAGTTTACTCTATGGAGAGAAGTGGAGACATCATGCTAGGAGGAGAAATCATCATGTGGACAATGAAAATCTGCTCATAGCGGCTAATCGGTACTCCGAGGATGAGGAATCGAGCTCCGAGGTCTTCAGATTGCTCCAATCCTTGCCCAAGGGTTGTCCTTCATCACTCTCTCTCTCTAGGGTTCTATTTCTTCCTTTAGAGTTTCAAAAATCCTTATCCTCGGCCATTTTCCCGAGCTTCCCTTTTATAAGCGGGAGATTCGCGAGTTACGAGCAAAGTTATGGCCGTAACTCCTCTCTCTCCTAGCCCGTAACTTTCATGAAAATGCTATCATCGCTGTGCTCCATAAACCAAGAGTTACGACCTCTTTAGAGGAGTTACGGTTGAATCCGTAACTTGAGAGGGGAGACCGTAACTCCAAGAATGCTCATGGAACCTTGTGTGTCGTTCCCCAAAAGTTACGGGTGCTAAGGGCGAGTTACGGTCCAGACCGTAACTCCAAAGAAGCTCCTGGAACCTTGGCCTTTTCCTTTGAGAAGTTACAGGCTCTTGGGGAAAGTTACGGTCTCGACCGTAACTTCCAAATCTGGGCCGTAACTTCTCCCGACTCTCTGTCCGTTTGCTCCAAAATGTCCCAAAACTCGCTCGTTCGCACCCATTCACGTGCTAGGACCTAAAACATCATAAACCAACACAATCTAGCGTAAAATAGGACACGAGGGCGAGAAAGCAAGCTCAAACGATCAAGAAATGAGGGAAAAAACATGTTCAAATATGGCGTTATAAAATTCCCCCACACTTAACTGTTTTCTAGTCCGCAAGCAAACCTGAATCAAACCAATGCAACTCTCTAGACCTTTACAGCAACATGCAATCTCGATCATCGGTAGAGGACTTCCTATATCATTTAGCAGATTACGAGGTGAACCGGTTTTCTAAGACATGCCCTATTTCTCTCAATTGGAGTACTAAACTCAAACCAGGATCATGCCAAGTAGTGGACCTAGGACAGACAATTCATGAATGAAGAGACTCGCCCACACAACAACCAAAGACTCTTCGTATCGGGTGCTCTTCCATTTCATTTCAATCTTTGGAACCCCTTTACCTTATTATTTTTTCTTTTCCATTTGTTTTGTTTTTTTTTTCACATCCTCACTTTGCTGGTGTTCCAAATTGTAGTTTTATGCGCAGTCGACCCTTATTGATTGAACAAGAGCAATTTCTGTACATGTGTCGCTCACCAGAGTAATTCTTTTAACTCCTTTTCCTCAACTCGTGTGGAGGGTCAATTAAGGGGGGTCGGAAGCTCTATTCGTGCCCTTAAGAACACATCCTCGAGTAGGCAAACCGTTCAACGGGTGTAATTTTTACTTGTACTAGAGACGCCTTACCTTCACCTTGTAGGCTTACCCCACTAAGGATCACTAAAATCTCTTCCAAAACCCAATTTTGTGCAATGAACGATGCAACACACGTTGGGCTTACCCCATGTTTCAAATTTAGAATTTCCAACATGAAGGACCAACTGCTTTTCATTATGCACATTGAGCACCCTTTTACGATACATGAGTCTACAACATGATAAAAAGGGAGTCATCGAAATCACATGAATCAAATGTCCTAAATCCACTAGTTCACACAATCAACCGACACA